TATGGGATAGTTCTAGAAAGCAGAGGGCGTGAGAATAGTCACGTGATCTCGCTGACGCAACAATACTTTCAAGTTTGGAAAATTTTAAAGAATGTTGTAAGCCTAATGTCAAGACACTTATAGTTGAATGTCCGTTTTGTTCGCAATAAAATAAAGGTAAAGAGCTGAACCAATGCTTACTTGAATGCATTTCAGCTTTCTAACCACATTGGTAATATTGTGGTAGTTTCAATTGTTAAAACAGTGCTTTACTAGTAAATGCTAGTCCTTTAGCTCAGTTGATAGAGCACTTGACTTGGTGTGGTAAAAGTATTAGTTTCGAATTCAAGCAAAGCAAAAATATATATACATTGTATATGTTAACAAAAATAAAACAGATTACCACCGTATTAACAACAACCAAACTTACCTTTAAGGCTGTTGAATATATGCAACCATGCTGCTCACAATATCCAGAATTGTCTTCAAGACTAGAAAAATTTGGAGCATGTTTAATTATTTTATTAATTAATAAAATTAATCAAACATTTTCAGAAATGTTGAATATCTTCCTAAAGTTAGAAATTTTTGTATTCCTAGCGATATTTTTCATTTTTAGCTTCTATTCATAAAATAAGATGGCCATGGTTCGAGGAGTTCTTCCCCTTCTGTTCACAAACTGGCTTAAAACTGATAAGTATTTCTTAAACAGTTGTCATTTTTTAAGGTATACGGGGCTCTATTTTTGATTAAATTATATTTAAACGTTACATAGCCTTTTACAACTGCTGACACCATGTCGGTTCGTTTCACTTTTTTTTTTTTGTTCTCAGAAGCTCGAAATACCACCCTTTTTTGTTTCTACACCTTTATGGTTTTTATTGTAGCTTTTATTTGTGTATTGTAAATCTGGTTACAACAAAAAACACATTTTCGGTTTTTTTTTTGTGTGTGTAAGTTTGTTTCATACGCCCATCTTTATACACTTTTGCATTCCGAAATTGTTTTTAACGGAGGGTAAAGATGAATATATATGTAAAATAAAGCTAAGTATTAGAGTAAATATAGCTGTATACGTATATTTATTAACGTTAGGCTTTGTTTTTTGATAAAGAGCTTAATTTAATTACAATTTATATTGTTTTCTTTGTCAATGATATCTAAGGAATGGTTATTTTTAACCATTTATTTTTTTGCTCGTAATTTGAAATCAACATCATACAAACATTTTCAGACCATATTTTCTGGATAGCAAGTGAAAGTTTAGCGATGTACACACAGTAAAGTAGCGGATTTTCTAAATTCCTTTTATTTTCGTCGTGTAATTCAGGTTTTAGGGACGATATAGCTATATTTATCACTTTGTAAGGTTACTTATTCTGTGCTTCAAGTTGAGATTTTAGCACATTTTGCTCGGTAAGAAAAGCCTTTGGAGAGGAAGAAATTCTAATGAAGGTAAACTCTTGAGTGTGTACGAAAAGTGGGCGTGTGAATTTCATTCCTTTTATATTTTTTCCGTAAAAAATTAAATCTTACCTTCAACTTAATTTCGACCATGAACTTTGTGCTGAGATGGATTACATTCAAACTCGAAAAAAAAACTATTAATACAATTTGTATCTTAAAAAGACGTAAAAAAAAGTCCACATAATGAATTCAGAAACTGGAGGATATACGGAACTGAAAATAGCATTTTTTTTTTCTATTTTGGCTAAAACTGTTGAAACTAGATTCTCCGTACTTAAGACCTTCAATTTGGTTATAAGTAACATCTCGAAATATGACCAGGTGGTTAGGGCACTCTGCGGGTTCGAATCTCCGTCACACCAAACATGCTCGCCCTTTCAGCCGTGGGGGCGTTATAATGTGACGGTCAATCCCACTATTCGTTGGTAAAAGAGTTGGCGGTGGGTGGTGATGACTAACTGCCTTCCCTCTAGTCTTACACTGCTAAAATTAGGAATGGCTAGCTCAGATAGTCCTCGTGTAGCTTTGCGCGAAATTCAAACAAACATCTCGAAATTGAAAAAGTGTACGAGTTTCTGAAAAATGAAATAATTCTTTAATGATACACATTTTAAAAAGAAATCTGGGATTGGAATCATTCTGATAACATTCCAGTGCACAATTAATCGTTTCCTCAAACCATACATATGTAAAAAGTTGTTTTTATAAGAAAAATACCCATAAGGATCGAAATCCTTTAATTTTTTTTTATAAAAGAAGAACCCTTTGTCACATAAGGAACAAATATCCAAAGATTATGATGTAAGTTTTCTATGCAGAAACAATGGGATGTAAGGGAGTATTCGGCTCATGGATCTTCAGTAGATCATAAATATGAGTACGAGAATCTGGTGGTCGTTAAAAAATTAAATATTTCATTAGAAAGTTTGTAAGAATTGTTTAACTGCAATAAGAAATTCTGAAATTTACATTCTTTCATAGAAGTTAAATTAGCACTTATTTTAATAATGTGAACCGAATCATTTAAAATAATGTCCATATTACTGAGAAGGTTCTATAACTACAACAGAAATACCCTTATCTTATTTTAATAGATTTACGTCTTTATAATTTCTAAAAGTTCCCGAGGCTTTTAATTCGTAAAATTTTAGGTTGGGTTTGGAAACTCGAAGTTAATCGATCAGTCTAGCGACCTTTGAAGAGAACATTTGAAAAGTGTGGTGATTGTTCGAAATGTATTTTTTGGAAATCTAGAGTTGTGAAAAAATTTTGAAGATCCTTTATTGACTGAGTTATGAACCTTTTGTTTCGGAAGTTCAATTAGTTTTCAGTTGTTCGTGAATGGGAATATTTTTATCTCTTTGAAAGCTGTTTTGTAGCAACAGGAAAGTCAAAATCTTTTAGTAATAGTTCCATTTCACGTGAATATAACTGTTAGCTAAACAGATAAAAACTATTTTTTTACCAATAAAATCTTTACTACATATTTGGTACTTTTCATCAAAGATTTTTAGTTTACAAAATTTGTCAGAATGTCTTTGACTAACGCCTTTTTACATGTTGAAAACATTTTAATCAATTAGTTTAACTACGTTTTTGTAATCTTCGTTGTGTTTAAACTTGAAAATTCCCTATATTTATTGTTTGAATCGGTTTATCAAGTTTAATACATCCATTTGCTTTTCTCAAAAATGTCAAAAACAATTTACTACCCAAAATTTTAAATTGAAAATTCCCTATATTTATTGTTTGAATCGGTTTATCAATTTAAAATTTTTGGTAATAAATTGTTTTTGACATTTTTGAGAAAACAAATGGATGTATTAACTGGCCTTTTTTTTTAAAAAAAAAAGGTAATTATTTGAATTATTCTGAAAGTATTCTTGTTCGAATCAAATTTTCAGAGATGAATGCCATAACGCAAATGGAAAACACAGTTGGGTGTAATGATAAAAATGGTGAAAATTCAGAGATGGCAATAATTTCATAATGCTACGAGAATAAAACTTGTCAAACTAAATAATTTTATTTATTTATGGATAAATATGTTTAAAAACTTCGTTTTAAAATCAAAAAGTTTACCTAGTGTCATCCGGTGACAAGCACTGAATTCAATAGTACAACCATTCAAACTTTTACGTGTTACAATAACAGTAATTATATTATGCCCTTAAACGCTAATATAATAGAAATCAACAAAGATTTATCCGCTTAACTAGGAACTCCACTATTAGAACTTAAATGAATAAACTATTTAAATATTTCCAAGAGAGATGTATAGATTATGTTAACTTATATAAAAATTCGGCTTTTATCTTTTTTCCCTCTCATGTGGTTCATATCTTATTATTTCAGTATTATTTTATTTTATCGTTTGGAGCTTGATAAGCTATTACTAGGCTTCCCAACTTTTTGAATTACAAGAGATAAATGCCACATTCTCTTACACAAATTGCCAGTAGTTCTCTCTGACGTTTTATAGTATATTATTTATAACCAATAGAAAGCCAAAGCTTTAATCTATCAAATGACCTATTTTATTACGTTGTTTTATGTGCAGAGAATTGTCTGGTTTTAAAATCTTTTTCACGCGAATTACATCGTCAAGTTTTGCTGAATTTTTAAAAGCTCTTATGCATAGTTAGAAAGCCAGATAAATTATGATAGCTATAGTATACTGTTTGCTTTGTGCGTGCTATTATTCTCTATTCTTAGGTGCATTATTTAAATAAACAAACGTTTATTTAGTGTAGTAGTACCATTAATATAAAAAAGTAGGCTTAAGTTTCATCGACAGCAAAAAATAGAGACCCAGGTAAGTGCTATATTTCTTTCTTTTTTTCATGTGCATTCTTTATTTATTATTATAAAAGTAACTAAAATGGGAAAATAAACACTTGTCAGGTAAGATAATGAAAAAAAAAATTATTCAGGAAGTATGCTCTCGTGAACATCTCGTACTTTACATAATTCAATAGGCAACATCAGCTGCTCCTTCGCCAAGTGACACTAAAGTGTTTGTTTGTTTTTTAATTTGCAAGCAGTAAAAATTTGAAGATGCTTCGTTCTGTTTTATGTATATATATATATTAGAATCTGGAAGATTTCGGAAGTTGTGAGAATATATACGATTCCGGAATGGTTGGCAAACCTAGCTATTGCAAATAAATCGATATTACAGAGTCTTGTGTATTTATAATGCTTCTGAATTCTAAATATTGTTGATTATTTTTGTTTCTACGATGTATTGGAATCCATATTCATATGGGATTTTGCAAATGGCGTTACTTAATTCGTGTTCTAGTGTGAAAGACCTCTTCAATTGGATAATGCACCAGACTTTCTATCAAGACTGGTGCTTGGATTACGCCCACTACCAACATAGAAATGTAAGTAATGGTTATAAAAATTAGTTATTTATTTATAATTAGAGCTAATATTAGATTAATTAGGTTATACAGTTACTAATCATGACAACGGAAGGCCCAAGGTTCGTGACGTGAAGGTGCTAATCACGCTTTGCATTTTCAGCTTTGGGCGCATTATAATCCTTTATTTGGTTCAAAGAGTCAAACAAAGCCCTTGTGGCGGCGGTTGTTGCTGGCTGGTTGCCATTCCTCTGATTAGTAGTTGAAAAGTAAGAGACAGCTATACCTGAATCATATGGGGTCTCTTGACCTTGCCGTTTAGGTTGAAAATTACGATTTCTTGTAACGGTTTATTTAGCGGTTCGGACGTAATTTGTTTGTTTGTAGTTAAGCACAAAGCACCGCAATGAGCTATTTGTGCTGTACCCACCACGAGTATCTAAATCTGGTTACTAGAATTATAAGCCCGCAGACATACCGTTGTGCCACGGTGGGGTGAAGAAAAACACACTACAAAACTGCGCTTGTAACAGCTGATTAAGTTCACCGGGATTTAGGTAATAAGCTTCAATTAAGACTTATCTACTAACTTATTCGGATTGATTTCATAAACTCATTATATACGTGTGTACTAAGATTAACTAAAACATTATTTTTATATACGTAACTGCATTGAACTAAACGTATTAAAGATGCTTTTAGAGCTGAAGTTTTTTATTATATATATATATACAAAAACTTCTGATAAGTTCAAGCCAGAAAAGAAAAAGGCATGCGCACTGATAAATCGAATACATCGTTTTATTAAAAGCTTCTTTATTTTAACTTATGCGTTTCCAAACAATGTCACCAATTGAAACACATTAACGTCCTTTTTTTTAGAAGCTGCACACTACACAGGGAATCACTTTGTTTTCTACCCAGTTCCCACACGAATGTGATTCACATTCAGCCATTAATGACACCTCACTTACTTGGGGCTGATTTCTTCCAAGCTTATCGATTGAAGTAGTCTCTGCCACATCTCGCTTTTCGTCGACACAAAGAAAGTCTCGCTTGCGGCTCATGACATTCGGAGCCGCTAGGTGACCACTATACTCTAGAGTCCAGGCATCATTGGGACACTTAGTGACGCCTGGAAAAACAGTGGGTGCTACTCTGTTGGTCATTCGGCACAGGGTGCAGGCCACGTTGCCGTTTCTCGAGGAGAGAGTTTGAAAGTTATATCCTAACGGTTCAAGGTGACTAGCATCACCCGATACGCTAACTTCGTTTTCTGGCCAGTTTGGGTCACTAGGGAAACACAGGATGTTATATCCACTTCCTTGAGCTTCGTCGGAAGTCACACTAACACCACGGAACACTTCCTCCACGTCATTTCTTCCACAACCATTCTTACCCCAATGAAGATAGGTTCCCCCTCCAACGTCCATCTTGAGATCTGTAACCCAAAGTTCAATATATATTTGTGAATTGCCTCTTTTTTTTTTCGGCGAGTTTCTCTTACGGAATTGTGAAAGTTATTGGATAGCAGTAAGCTGAATTACACCGTTTATAGTGTGTAAAATTAGTTTTAAACTTTAGGCTAAAATTTTTATTTAAAGTTAAATGATGATGATAAAAAAGATTAAATAAATAAATATTTAATCAAAATCGACTTACATTATATTCTGAACAGGTATCTTAGAGCATTCGGTGAAGTAATTTTCTGCTAATGGTAGAAATTTTAACAAAGTGAATGTAACTGATGTACACTTAATAAGTTTTTTCTAACTATGCTGAAGATATTTTTATGGTTGGTGTTCCCAATGATTCAAGATTCGTGACATTAAAACACTATCCGCACTTTATTCCATGGGTGAGCTGTATAAGAGTGTTAGTCAAGTCCTACTTTTAGATCAGACAAGATAACCCAAGAGCTGGCAATGGGTGCTTTGGCAAGATGGCTTCTTTCTCTAGTCTATCAGGTTTAAATTAGAGACGGCTATGCGCATATAGTCGTTGTGTAGCTATGTGCGACATTCTGAAACAACCAAACCAATCTATAGAAAGAGAGCTACAATACGGGATAAATTAGGTATTTTAATTTATTGTTGTGGGCTATTTTAATTTAGACGTTTGAATTGTAGTCTGGCCATCAGGTTTGACATCACATGATAAGTGCATAGCTTAATGTCTGGAAGTTTCACCAGTTTTATCAGCATAAAACGGGAGTTAGGCTTAAGCAGATGTTGATTAATCATTAGTGTATTATTAAGTTATGATGAGTCTGAAGTAACGATATAACTGGGTTTGTTAGTCAATTAATTCTGTACTGTAATTATTCGGTTTGTGTTTCATGAAATAATAAATCTGCCTGAGGTATGCTTTTTCTTGGTGAACCTATACACTGTTAGTTTCATTTCCAGGTGGAAGTATTTTTTATTATTATTATCCTGCGTACTATTGCCAGGGGCACGTGGATAACTTTTTATCACTAAACTTTGTGTTCGTATGTTCTCATCTGTTACAACATGCAGCACTTTGTTTATTACAACTGGTATAAAATTTGTTGCAGGTCTCTTTCTGGGTGGTCCTGGTATCCCAAGTTAATTCACACTCCTTTATTTTCCAATGCCACTAAGTACGAGGGATATCCTCGTCTTGCAGATTCTAAATCCCGACCTAAACACATCTCTATGATCTGAGAGTATGAATATTTTGTGTTGGAAAAGGCTGTTACACACTCTTCCCAACAGCAATCAATTTTCGGTGGCATCACACTACCTACGAACGCCAGAAAAAGTCAAAATGTAGTTCTCATATCTGGTGTTACACCCCAACTTTATATCGGCTGTGGCTGTCACGTGCATGTGATTTGCTTATCTGCATATTCAAAATTGTTTTAATATATCATATTCAACTCTGTTTTTATTAATATTATTAGCTAGCGGGCTGGACTAAACATCATTTAGGAATATAGGTGTGTGTGGCCAGGGGGTGAGTTAAGAGGATACTTTAGAAGCACGTAACGTTGTCAAGAAGGAAAATCATACATGCTGTAAGACCACGATATTTGATTAGTTCTGGGATTGAATAAAACACCTACTGGCCATTCACGAGTTTCGTGAACCTCCGGTTTAAATTCTTGCGATGCGCGTGTTAAGAGGATTGTGAAGAAAACACGCTCAGTGTTATATGCTGTTTTATAAAATATCATACGTTAAGAGGCTTGAGACGATTGTTTATGTAGGTCAGTATCTTGCTCAGAAACATATGTAACGTGTTCTGTTAAGAAACCAGGGAATTCAAACAAAATCATATGAATTATGCCAAATCACGTGGGTTATCCTGTTAAGTGAGTTACCTACAGCACTGCTCATGAATCTCGCAAGTTTTCCATGACTTTTTATCATAATTTCTTCAGGGGTCGTTTGTAAATTACTCCTAGATATTTGCATGTTTTTTATTCTTATAATCAAGCGTGTCCATACATTAGTTAGTAGTGTCATTCGAGTTTCGGTCAAGCCAATATACAGCATATTTTGTTTCACAGGCTGCATGTTTTAACGCCAGTCCATTTTTTTTGGTTTAGTTTTTACAACGTGTCTGTGAATAGGTTCTAAGTTTCTTAATAAACACTAATGTTGCTAACTACTTTTATCAATTTTGTTCTGAAAATAGATAAACCTCAGCATATAATTTGTTTAGCTTGTTTCTAGATGGTTCCCTTAGATGTTAATTTATCAACACCTATTCAGTCTTTAAACATATTTCACGCTAACAAAAAATACACGCACATTACTTTTTTTCTTCTTCTTTTTCTGAGCTTTTTTTCACTAAGAGTGCTATCCTCGTCCTCGGAGATTATTGTTACTCAGAGCACCTTCATCTTCAAAGAATTATTTCATATTTAGATTGATTTCTTTCATCTATTATTTACTTTCCTACCTTTTATAGTTGGTTTACATAAAGTACTTCATATATTCTCTGTGCTTTGGCATGAACATAATTTGGTGTTACTCGCCCCTGATTAACACCAAACTGACTAAAACAGATGTCTGAACTGCTGTTTATAATCCAAGGATTGGTAAGTTACCCGTGAGCATTGATCACGTAGTGACAAGTTCTGTTGTGGAGTTTGGATGATCTTGATAAGATTATCATGTAAGTAGTTCTGATTATATAAAACTCTAAGCTCCTTCTGTTCTTTCCAGAATACCACGTTACCCCTGTCAGCAGGCAAATCCCATTAACAGAAAAGGGAAACCAGAGTTCCCTGTTTCTCTATCTCCACATATAACCAACATGCTAGAAAACTCATCAAAACCAGCTCCGCAAATTATATTATCCACTAAGCAAGACAGGTGTGAACACAAACAAATCTTGGGCTCAGTCTACAAAGTATGAAACAGTTCTTTAGAGCAAGATTAGTGCAGTTCAAGAATGGACACATCCTTTCCGTCTAAAACTTGTAACCTTTTAACTTAGTGTAGGAACCTGTACTAAAAATAAAACTGGCTGAATAGAAATATTATGCTCCAGAAAGTTTTAGTTTATAATAGTTGTATGTCTAAGACAAGTTTTGTTGAGTAATTTATTAGAAATGGTGTGTTAGTTACAAGTGCAAGACTAGTGCAACTTTAATCAATCAAAAATTAATATATAAGAATAGACTAGTGCAACTTTAATCAATCAAACATTAATATATAAGAATAGACTAGTGCAACTTTAATCAATCAAACATTAATATACAAGAATAGACTAGTGCAACTTTAATCAATCAAACATTAATATATAAGAATAGACTAGTGCAACTTTAATCAATCAAACATTAATATACAAGAATAACAAGAGGAAAGATGCTCAGTTTGCTTTTTCTTGTTACACACAAAACTAAACAATGGGCTGTCTGTGCCCTACCCACCTCAGGTATCGAAACCCGATTTTTAAAGTTATAAGCCCCAGACTTACCGCTGAGCCACCGGAGAGGATGGAGGGGCATTCAATTTGCTATGGAGAAACTAGAACATTATATCAGATAGTGTAACTGTATTGAATAATATCAAATAACAAACTAGAATATAAATAATCACATGTAACTGACTCGTGGATAATGTTTTCAGTAATTTCATGGCATGGATAATTCTAATCATTGTGTGAAGATTTGAACTTGTAACGAACTAAGACTCGTTAACTTACTATGTGGTAATTGTTTCCTAGTTTAATGATATTGTATACTTAAAGTAGCTCTTTAAAATAAATTGGTTTTACCAAAGGTCACCGTATTGACCTGTGGCCTCGTGATACGAGAGTTTATTATAACCAAAAACTTCTTACAGTATTCATACCGAAGAAGGGTGATTTTTTTCCTGTTGTTTAATAAAGTGAATGAGAAGAAAAATGGGCTTTCAACGAATACTTTTTGAACAACGCACAGATGGAGAGGGGGAGGGAAGCATAACTGTTCAAACAAGTCTAGAATCTGAAAAATGGAAATAAGACTGTCTTGGCAATGGAATAATCTAGAAGTAATATTTTTGAACTTGTCCGGAACTTTAGTTGAAATTGTTTTGTTTTCATTGTTGCCAAAATATTTGTCTTTATTTGATAAGTGAATTCTGAAATGATGTGTTTTTGATGTAATGTATCTGGTCGTTTAACTTACTTAGTAATTTCTATTACACTTTACTATACACTTAAAGCTACCCAAAGAATCAGGCAGTGATTACAGAACTAGGAGTCACACCAAACATGCTCGCCCTTTCAGCCGTGGGAGCGTTATAATGTGACGGTCAATCCCACTATTCGTTGGTAAAAGAATAGTCCAAGAGTTTGCGGTGGGTGATGATGACTAGCTGCCTTCCCTCTAGTCTTATACTGCTAAATTATGGACGGCTAGTGCAGATAGCCCTCGTGTAGCTTTGCGCGAAATCCAGAACAAACAAACATAACCAGGGAAATTCAACTGCTTATTTAAAAACAGAAAACATCACTATGACAACTGTTTCAGAGATACTACATGAAAATACCACAAAGAATAATGAAACTTTGTTGTCTATAAATCGGAATCTTTAACTGAAAATAGATAAATCAAAAAGGAAAAAAAGATCATTTGTTAATTTGAGCTTCATATACACAAAGTTTTAGGACTGTATTTTACTTATCACTTAAACTCTTAAAACTCAATAGATAACAGTAACTGGTGGGAAAACAAATAAGAAACTATAGTTATGCAAAGCACAAGTGACTCAAATCTTATCCCGAAAAAATCTGATACAATATATTTCGTTTTGAGCAAGTAAAAATAGATATTTAAAATATTTTATTGCTACACATAAATAAGATGAAATGTAAATCAAATGTAATGCCACATTTAGTGTACGATATCTTACCTATAACGGGGAGAGAAATGAAAATTGATGTTTGAGTTGTGTTATTTCTTTAATATGTCTAGAAGACAAAGTTTACGTACCTGGAACATTTGCGATCTGAAAAGAAAAAAAATCACGTGTTGGGGTCAGAGTTCAATGATTAATTAGAAATGACTGAGAGTGTTGAATCAGAAAAGAAAGAACAGAATTAAACCTTCATAACTTGTTGACGTCAAATAATACTAATCAACATCATGCTAAAACTTAAAAGCTTGGACATGTTAATATTTACTAAATCAACTTAGTTCACTGTCTAAAAACGCATTTCCTATGCTCTAGTGAGAAGTAATTAGTGGTGATGAAAGTACATATGTGCTCGACTCGCAATCTGCGGGTTTGAATCCCCGTCACACCAAACATGCTCGCCCTTTCAGCCGTGGGGGCGGTATAATGTGACGGTCAATCCCACTATTCGTTGGCTGGCGGTTGGTGGTGACGACTAACTGCCTTCCCTCTAGTCTTACACTG